CTTCAGTCAAAACTACCTTCTACCTCTAGGAAGAAGAGGAGGGTTTTCCATTTCCTGGTTTGAATCTTGACTTATTTGTCAATTGGTCTCCTTAGGTTATTTCATTTTCCCTGGGTGCCAGCTTTTTCCATCTTTAAAATGGAGCAGTACTATCCAGCTTACAAGAATCATTGTTAAGAATTCAAAGGATCAGCCGGGCGCTGGTGGCTCACGCCTGTAATCCTAGCTACTCAGGAGGCTGAGATCTGAGGATCGCGGTTCAAAGCCAGCCCAGGCAGGAGAGACCTTGAGACTCCTATCTCCAATAAACCACCAGAAAACTGGAAGTGGCGCTGTAGCTCAAGTGGTAGAGCGCTCGCCTTGAGCTGAAAAGCTGAGGGACAGCGCCCAGGCCCAGAGTTCAAGCCCCACTGCTGACCAAAAAAAAAAAAAAGAGAATTCAAAGGATCAACGGGAATTGCAGAAAGAGAGGAAAGGGGAGGAGGGGAGAGAGGCTATGAAAAGCTAAAGCAGTATTCAGAAGCTTTGGAGAAATCGAGGTGTCTGGATTTGCAATGAAAAACAACTGGGAGAAGACCAGAGAGAAGAGTTACCCTGTGGGTTGGGGGGGACAGTTTAAGGATGGATGTTGGAATGTGGAGGAAGTGTCTGGGAAATCTCAGGAAAGTGTGGGACGCTAACTTCCAGCTGCTCAGAGCAGCAGAAACCAGTTTGGTCCTGTTGTTTAGCTTTTGTAAGCTGCTCATTAGCATTTGAAGGGAGTGTCTGTAACGCCAGTCTTTAGGGCAAAGCTGGGCTGGGGGTGGGGGTGGGGAGGAAAGCTACTGGGACTTCAGCCTTATTTGCAGAATCCCAGTTTATTTCTGTGCTCAGTAAATAAGAGCTTAAATCTCAGTTTCTCTCCCAGTTCAAGCCAAAAGTTGTCCAATTTACAAAACTTCTCAAGCCATCAGCTATTTCTATCATTAGCCCAATAGAGAAAGCACCGTCATTTTGGAAAGAAAAAAAATTCTAATAAGAATAGATAACAATGAACATATGAATTCATTTAAGCTTCACAATTTAGCAACTAGAAAATAAGAGTTTTGTTGTTGTTATTGGAAATCACCAGCTTACAAATAGTTTGAAAAACATGGGTGAATGCTTAATGTGTAGAGCAAGCAATCATGTATGGTGTGTAACACAAAGAGCTGTGTTCACAGAAGACTCCGTGGATTGCACATGAAGGGAAATATTGGATTCGCATTTGGGGAAGAGGGAGGACTTGAACTTTTTAAAAATATTTTTCTCTTTCCCTAGAGCTCACTCTGGCATCTAGATGCATCCAGTACTGCCAGACTGTCTAGCCCACTTCCTCAGGGTGCTGGGGAGCTGGGGTGGCTGGGTGTGGGGCTGTCCGCTCTGCAGGCAGGACACTTAGCACTCAGTCCAGTTATTTGAAATTGAGTCTCACTTTAGAAATGCAAATGAATCTGTCTCGAGGGACTGAGGAATTTTTGCAACCAACACGTCCCAGTGGCTTTGAAGACCATTGGAGGCCCCTTTGTTCTGGGGAAAATGCCTTCTAGGGATGTTCTGGGAGGCGAAGGGGTCAGGACTATAAATGGGCCTGCGGAGGTGGGAAGCAGGAAGAGGCTTTTGCTTTACAGTGAAAGTTCTGCGTCCTGAATAGCCCCAGGCCCTCAGAGAGCCTACAGAAAATAGAGAACTTTATTCTCAAGGTAGATGGGAGTCTCGGTCCAGAGCAACATTTGTTCCTAAAATCATTCTCTCTCTCCCTCTTTCCATCCCTTCCCCTTTCTTTCCTCCTCCCTTCCCCCTCCTTCCTCACTTGCTTATTAGCTGTGTCCAGCAAACACCCCCAATTCATCTTCAGAGCTACTTGTGGCTTTTCAAATGTTGACATCCCTTCTTCCTCCTTATACCTCTAAAGGCAAATTTTATTGTATCTGTATTTTTTTTAAATAACTGAACGCCAATTTAGGCACACCAATTAATAGCTGGGACTCCTGAAGAAACCTACTTGGGTTTGAATCTCATCTTTACTGCTTATGAGCTCTGTGACCTTAGGCTGGATGATTAGCCTCTCTGTGTCCCAGCTTTTCTCCTCTGTAAATCAGGGATGATAATAATTTATCTTCAAGATGATTAGGCAAATGGCAATAACTATTTGTAGAGTGCTTAGAACAGGTAACCAGCACTCAGCTATTTGTCTTATGAACCAGTGGATAAAGGGCACTTTCCAAAGCTTTTCCACACCACATACATAGTCTACAGAAAGAGAGGATGGGGGCCCACCTTCACCTGCCCTGGAGGTAAGAGGGGATATCTGCTACCAGCCTAGCTGCACAGGAACCCCAGGGCCTGCCATGACAAGGGCCTTGCTCTAGACCCTGGAATTTCTTGTCCTACCACACAAGAGGTACGGCCCAGATCTCATTTGCAAGAAGGAAGTGCTGTGGTCTGTCGGAAATGTCCACTGCTTTAGGTGTGAGTCAGCTGTGACATTGACCTTGATCTCTTACCTGCCAGAGAGAAATCAACCAGTAGAACAGAACAGCTGTCTGGGTACTCTGCAGGTGCCTGCATCCTGTCTGCAGGGGAGGGAGCTGGATGTAGCTATAGCAGAGATCACGTTAGCCCAGAAATTTTTGTTTGTTTTCATCAAGATCATTAACCTCGCCACCTCATCCAGTGAGGTGAACAGCATTCACACAGCAGCGTTCTCTGCAATGGAGAACTCTGCACCATAGTTCACGCAATCCAAGTTGCAGTTGATGTAAAGTCTTCTGAATTGCACGTAGCACTGAGGAAGAATAAATGCAAACTACACCCTCCACGGATTTTAAGATTTCCTCCAGGTTCACATGCTAATGTGTGAAACGTGTTAAACATTCAGCAGCCAGGACCTGTGTGCCCTCATCCACATTCTCACCTCAATTGCTTGCCTGAAATGGTGTGCAGCAAATCAACCTTTGTCTTCTGTGAGAAGAATTCAGGCAAAGTGCAAGCAGTGAAAGTGATAGGAAAGTTTATGTGGCAGAGCAGTGAGGTTAGGTGACCATGGGAAGACCAGCCATCCCCTGCCATCTGTGGATACTAAGCTGAGCAGTAGGTTTAAGTAGAGGAAGAATTAAGGACAGGAAACAAATGTGTGCATAGTTTCAAGTCCCAGTTACAGGTGGCCTGGCTGGCTATTATCGCAGTCCTGTTTTTCCCAGGTTTTGGACAAATTGTGATGGCTGCCATCACTGGAGAGGAGCCATCTGGTTCCCATGAGATGACTTCTCTGGCTCCAGGGTACAATCTGATCATTGCTGGTAATTATCCTTATTTGGTCTGTTCTGCAAGGCTCTGCTGTTCCTTAGGGGTAGGTTTAGTCCCTGGCTTAAAGATGCTATCCATCAGCCCTGTGTCTACTAGAGCCCAACATGATCTCAAAGAACTAACAGCTTAGAACAATGACAAACACAAAATGGAAATATAGATCCCATACATATAATGTACCTAAGTCATTATTCATGCAGCACACATGCCAGACTTTTCTTTGGCTTTGTAATGAATTCAAGACAGCAAAAACAGTTTAAGTACCTGTTACCAACAGACTTGCAAGCTGGTGGCTCATGCCTATAATCCTAGTTACTCAGGAGGCTGAGATCTGAGGATCATGGTTCAAAGTTCACCTAGAAAGTTGGTGAGACTCTTATTTCTAATTAACCACCAAAAAAGCCAGAGTAGAGCTGTGTTTCAAATGGTAAAGCAGCAGCCTTGACAGAAAAGGTAATGGACAGCTTCCAGGCCCTTAGTTTAAGCCAAGTACAGGCACAAAACAAAACAACCCTCCCCTCAAAAAAAAAACACCACCAACAAAACCCAAACATGCTTTCAATAGACCAAAAGTGTGTTGTCCTTATGGTGAGAACCACAACATTAGTATGTGGATTTGGACTACTTTCTGAGATTGCCTGTGAGAAATTCTTATGCCTGAGTCCAGTCTACAGAGATGTCATTACCTGTGAGTTGGGAAGTTTAATTACTTGAACTCTGGGCCTGGGCGCTGTCCCTCAGCTCTTCAGTTCAAGGCTAGCCCTCTACCACTTGAGCCATAGCGCCACTTCTGGTTTTCTGGTGGTTTATTGAGATTAGAGTCTTAGGGACTCTCCTGCCTGGGCTTGCCTCCTGAGTAGCTAGGATTGTAAGTGTGAGCTACAGGCACCCAGCTTGTTTACTTACATTTTACATTGCCTTTAGATTTTCCCATCATTCATAGCTAACTGCTTCCTATCACAGCTTTTCCCTCTATTGGCTCATTTCCATTGTCTACAGCCACAAAATAATGTCTTTCTTCCACCTACGTATGTACGTATGTTGCTTATTTTTAGCCGTTCAGGGGTTTGAACTCAAGGCCTTGTACTTGCTAGGCAGGCACTCTACTACTTGAGCCATGAGGCCAGTCCTTGTTGCTCTGGTTATTTTTTAGATAGGGTTTCACTGTTGTTGTTTTTTTTCTTCCCAGGCTGCACTGGACCTGATCCTTATGTTTACACTTGTCAAGTAGCTGGGATGACAGATGTACATTGCTATGCTCAGTCTTTTCTTTTGAGATGAGGGTAAAGAGGTCTCAGAAACTTTTTTCCTAGGCTGATTTTAAACTACTGTCCTTCCAATCTAGGATTACAAATTTATGGCAAAACCTGGGTTTATTTTTCCTTCCTTCCTTCCTTCCATCCATCCTTCTTGTATTCTTTCTTTCTTCTTTTTGTCACTTATAGGGTTTGAACTCAGGGCTTAAGTGAGGTCTCTGAGATCTTCTGCTCAAGGCTAGCACTCTACCACTTTGAGCCACAGCACTACTTCGGGCTTACTGGTGGTTGGTTTCCTGCTCAGGCTAGCTTTGAACCTTGATCCTCAGATCTCAGCTTCCTGAGTAGCTAAGATTACAGTTGTGAATCACCAGCAGCAATTTCTAGTTGTAGTTCTTTTTTTTTCTTAAAGCAGAACCAAAGAGATACTCTTTATTGAATTAAATTATACATCTTATTTTTTAAAACTTGTCAAGTATTCACAAAGCAGATAGATTTTCATACAACTACCAATTGCAGAAACACAAAATAAGTTTCCAGATAATCCCAACAGAAGTAACCTTTCCTTCTATCTTTAAGAAAATAAACTTTTTTACAAGTTAAAACTATTAAGTTTTATGGTGCAAAACACCAAAAACACTTGACGCAAAACCTATTATTTTTAATCAAAAGTATGCCTTTTCATTTTCTATTCTTAGCCCAAATTTTAATTCTTTCCAGTAGAACCAAAACCTCCTGAACCCCGTTCAGTATCATCCAAGACTTGAACTTCTTCAATTTCTGGATAAAAAATCTGCCCACAAATGAGCTGAGCAATTCGATCACCCTTTTTCACTTCAAACTTCTCTTTGCCAATATTGAACAAAATAACACCAACTTTTCCCCTATAATCTTCATCTATGACACCAGCTCCTACATCCATGAAGTGTTTTGCAGCCAAGCCAGAACATGGAGCTACTCTTCCATAGCACCCAGAAGGAAGAGCTATCTGAATGTCCGTCTTCACAAGGGCTTTCTCCATAGGTGGTATTGTACAATCATAGGCACTGTACAGGTCACAGCCTGCAGTGCGTGTGGACCCCCGGGTTGGGTCGTGGTGTGCTCCCAGAGCCTCACAAAGCAGAGCTGCATGTCGCCCTCCTTGGCAGTCCACTTGCAAGGGGAGCTGGCGGGGTTCTCTTTTGAGCAGGGCATGCCAATGGGGGAGAGGGAGGAAGAAAGAGAGATGGAGACGGCCCCCTAGTTGTAGTTCTTTTTTTTATTTTTTTATTGTGAAAAAACTGTACAGAGGGGTTACAATTACATGGGCAAGATAATGAGTACATTTCTTATCAAGCATTGTAGCCTTCTCCTTTGTTTCCCCTTCTCATCCCTTCCAAGCCTCCCCCCCAACCCAATCCTCCCTCCACTCCTCCACCAAAATTGTAAAATTCGTTTTCGACATGACAACTTGTACTTCTCATTGTTGCAACGGGTCCACCTGTATCCTTATTTAAACAACTTGTTTTTCCCCTTCCCCTCCACAAATTATACCAACATCAAATACAGTGAAAGCAGGGGTTATACTGTGGGGGAGGGACGTACAAAGCAACAAAGAAATAATCATATAAATGTGTTAGAAACAAACGCATGAAAGAAAAAAATTTAAATACATATCTTAGGGTTCATTTTCCTAACATCACCTTATTTATCATCTGACCTTTTCTGCTTGACTCATACATATACTAACTATTGCAAATAAGGGAAACCATGGGACCTATGTTTCTCTGGGCTTGGCTTACTTCACTTAATATAATTTTTTCCAAGTCTTTCCATTTCCTAACAAATGGGGCAATGTCATTCTTTCTGAGGGAGGCATAGAATTCCATTGTGTATATATACCACATTTTCTTGATCCATTCATCTACTGAGGGGCATCTGGCTTGGTTCCATATCTTAGCTATAGTAAATAATGCTGCAATAAACATAGTTGTGCTGGTAACTTTAGTGTGGTCTTGTTTGTAAACATTTGGGTAAATGCCCAAAAGTGGGATTGCTGGGTCATAGGGGAGCTCTATGTGGAGTCTTTTGAGGAACCTCCATACTACTTTCCAAAGTGGTTGAACAAGTTTACACTCCCACCAACAATGAAGTAAGGTTCCCTTCTGCTCACATCCCCTCCAGCATCTGAATCAACTCCAAATGGATCAAAGACCTCGGAGTCAAAGCAGACACTCTGAAAACATTACAGGATGGAATAGGAGAAACCCTAGGTCTCCTTGGCGCAGGCTGAAATTTTCTTAATAGAGACCCGGAAACACAACAAATCAAAGAAAGGTTGGACAAATGGGATTGTATGAAATTGCAGAGCTTCTGCATGGCAAAGGACATAGCTAGCAAGATCAATAGAAAGCCCACGGATTGGGAGAAGATCTTTACTAGCCATACAACGGACAAGGGTCTCATATCTAAAATATACTTGGACCTCAAAAAATTAAATCCCCCAACAACAAATCCTCAAAGAAACAACTGCCCAATAAATAAGTGGGCTAAAGACTTAAAGAGAAACTTCTCTGAAGAAGAAAGAAGGATGGCCAATAGACACATGAAGAAATGCTCAACCTCCCTAGCCATAAAAGAAATGCAAATCAAAACAACATTGAGATACCACCTCACCCCAGTTAGAATGGCAAAAATCAAGAACTCTAGTAACAATAGTTGTAGTTCTTAACTGAATACAGTACATGCTATTCTGCTCTATGTCTCATTCTCTCATCACTGTTTTTCTTTGCTTTCAGCCCTGATGGGAATACCAGCTTTCCTTGTTCACTTCTGCATTTAAACAGGTTTCTACCAAAGGTCACCAGTGACCTCCACTGCCAAGTCCTGTCCTTAGCAGGCATGGGCTTCCAACTCCGGCTCTCCTGGCTGTCTCCTGAGTCTTTGGCCACTTCCGGCCTAGTTCTCAGGCTTCTCTTCTATGTGCTGGGTGACCTTGAAGAGCACACACCACACATGCACACACACACACACACACACACACACACACACACACACCTCTTTCTCTGCTGCTTGGGTAATCTCACCCAGTCATATGACTTGAATTACAACCCCTTTACAACTACTGTCTCCAGCTTGAACCTCTTTCCCTTAACTCAGGACTTATATATCCTAGCGGGAAACTCAAAGAGCATGCCTCAAAATGAACCTTTGGATTCTAGCTCCTCAGGAAATCCTCCTTCTCTTAAGAAATAACAGCTTTTTTAGTTGGTTTTGGCTAAAACCCTGAGAACCAAAACCTTTCCTGACCACATTTTCTCTCACATCCCATCCTTCCCAAAGAAATTACTTCACCCAATGTTCATCTACTAACACCTTAGACAAAGTGGCCCTTAAATATCTAAACTAGACCTGGGCACACCTCAGCTCAAATGTGCACATCAAAAGTAATAATCACTTCGTGGCTCACGCCTGTAATCCTAGCTACTCAGGAAGCTGAGATCTGAGGATTGCAGTTCAAAGCCAGCTGGGGCAGGAAAGACCGTGAGACTCTTATCTCCAATAAACCACCAGAAAACCAGAATTGGCCCTGTAGCTCAAGTGGTAGAGCACTAGCCATGAGCTGAAGAGCTGAGGGACAGTGCCCTGGCCCAGAGTTCAAACCTCATGACAGACAAAAAAAAAAAAAAAAGTAATAATCACCCCAATTGATGGGAAAAAGCAATTTCTTAGATGGGAAAGCAATTTCTTACCACCTATTCAACAAATAAAGGATCAATATTCAGAATATACATAGAGCTAAAAAATAAACTAAAACAGCAAAAGAACAAGTAATATGAGTAATAAATGGGCAAATGAATTGAGCAGACAGTTCTTAGAAGAAGAAATACAAAGGGCTAATAGAAACATGATACATGTTCCTTAGCCATAAGGCAACAAATGCTGTCAAAGAATAGGGGGAAATCACTTTCATACACTGTTGGTGGGAACATAAGCTAGTACAGCCATGATGGAACTCAGTATGGAGGTTCCTCAAAAAGCCAACACTATATACCAACCTTCTGGCCCTGCTATACCAATCTTGGGTAGAGGAGTGAATCAATATGCCATGTCTAGTCACAAAAGCCAAACTGTGTTAACAGCTGAGGTGCCCAACAACTGACAAATGGATAAAGCAAACACGGGTACATATATATAAGAGCAGAAATATGGGTTGGTTAGGCAACCAGGGCAAAGGGCGCCCTCCCACACAGGTTTTGCATTCCTCACTGTGGCCTTAAGCGGTCTTGTATGCAGGCTCCTAGACATCACTTCATCGTGGCCTGCAGCAGTGGGGCACCTGGGCCTCACATCATGGCCCATAACCCCTGGAAGATGTGCACCTGATAACAGGCTGATTGGATCCCAGAGGTGTGCACTGGACAGGCATCCAGTCAGAGGGGCTGGAGAGATCATGCAGGCTCCATGGAGCCTCTGATCAGGTCTGGGGACAGACGTGGCCTGCAGGCTCTCCAGATTATGCAGCTTTCTCCTAGAGACACCTTGTTAACCTTTGCACAATCCACCCGGGCAGTGCCCTCCCTCGGGACTCCTCCTGTCTAGCAGGAGCTCTGCTTAAGTTTTTCCTCAATAAATCTTTGCTGTTTTATTTCTTCCTCTATGTCTGTGGGGGTAGTGGTGGTTGTGGGGCTTGAACTCAGGACCTGGATGCTGTCCCTGAGTTTTTCTGCTCAAGGCTAGCCCTCTACCACTTTGAGCTAAGTGTCACTTCTGGTTTTCTGATGGTTAATGGGAGAATGAGCATGCTCAGAGGTCTTCCTAACTGTTCTTGTACAAGGTCCCTCCCAATTCACTTCCCCCTTTCTACTTCCGACACCTGCTTACTCATGCTTTTTGTCTCTCTGCCTTTGTCTACCTCTGTCCGCCTGTCTGTCTCTCTCTCCCTCTTTCCTCCCTCCTTCTCTAGTCTTCCCCCTCCTCTTTCTCCACGGTCTCACTTTGTAGCCCAGGCTAGCCTCGGGATCCTCCTTCCTCAGCTTCCCAAGTGCTGGAATTACAGGCATGAGCCACCAGATTGGGCAGTCCTTCACAGATAGATCTATTTGGGGTTTTGGTGTGTCTGTGGCCCCCAGTGCATGTAAGCTCATGAAGTGGAGGGGGCACTGCTGTGTCCTCACATCTCAGCCACTGCCCAGCAGGTGCTGGACACTATGCAGTGACAGCTGATATCCAAGACCTTTTATGTGGCAATATGAAGAGTGTGACAGTTTCCCTGTGACTTTCTGATGTAGCAGAGCGTCTGTGGCTCACGCCTGCAATCCTGGTTACCCAGGAGGCTGAGATCTGAGGACTGAGTTCAAAGACAATCTGGGTAGGAAAGTTGGTGAGACTCTGCTCTCCAATTAGCCATCCCAAAACCAGAAGTGGAGCTATGGTTCAAGCTGTAGAGCACTATCCTTCAGCAAAACTAGCTCAGGCACAGCGTCCAAGCCCTGAGTTCAAGCCCAAGGACTGACACATTAAAATAAAAAAAAAGTTGCCTGAAGTCAGAGAAAACAGCTGCTGCAGCTGGTGTGTTTATCTTAGGGAGGACCTTGTCGAAGGCATGTGCTAGGGTGAACAAGCTTGTGCAGCCCAGGAGTGGCTGGGTATCACCTGGCTCACTGAAGTCACCCAAGATGTTCTCTTCTCCCAGCCTTCTCCTCACCCCTAGACCGGTAGAGGCTGGATCAACCTGTCCACCGCCCCCGTACTTTGCCCTCTATACTCTCAGCTTTCTCAAGATCCTTCTGTGGTTTTGATAAGGTGAAGTCTTGATATGTAGTCCAAGGTGACCTTGACCTCATAGCCCTTCTGCCGCAACCTCCCAACTGCTGAGATTACAGGCACGAACCACCATGCTAGCTCTAGATCTTTAAGTCATTTATAAGCCTGTGTGGCACATGTTTGTATGAGTCTATCTGTACCTTTCTTACCCATCCCCAGTCCAGAACCTGGAATCAGGAGTTGTGTCTTGTTCACCTTTGTATCCCTGTTCTTTAACAGTGCCTGGCACATTATAGGTGCTCAGAAAATGTTTGCTGAGTGACTAAATGATCTTTTCATTGATGATAGCTTGGTTGTTTTGTTTCTTTTTTTTCACAATTTCTCCAAATAGGAATCTATTCTCCACTGATTGGGCGCTAATACTGTTTCCAATGGTTGATAAGGGTAGA